CAGGAACAGGACCCGGATCTCCGTTTGCCAGGGACCTCGCCAACCAAAGGCCTACCTCTTTGATTTAATTGTAGTGGGGCGATCTGCTGCTGGTCCCTGCTGCCTGCGTCCTCTGTCACAGTGCCAGTCCCCACCCGTCCTGGCCACAGCCTGCGTAGCTTGTCTGCGGGCACCTGCGTCTGCTGAATCCATTATATTTAAAGTTAATTTAAATTGAACAGTCATAATATTTGATTACATATTACCTTCTTTAATCAAGGAGTGTCTTCTGTTCAAATTGAATCGTTATCAATTTTGATGGTATCCATAGCTTTTCTTCTCTCATGGAAACAAAAGTAAAAATATTTCCCTAACGTAGCACATGTACTTTTTTCCATTTTTAAATCAGTACATCTTTAAATACACAGGTTGATTTAATTCTATAGCTTTTGCTACTATCCAATGATGTTCCACAGCTGCTGTTCTTTTCTCGTTTGCATTTTCCACAAGAATTTTTAATTTTTTGCTCAGTTATGTGGTGAAAAGATCCATTCTAAGATATTAGCTTCCCTTTGCAATAAAATTCCTGTAGGGGAATACTTAGAGGGTTATACTTAATGCAGTTGAGTTTCAGATCCACATGATCCACATGTAAAATCTGTAATCTCCCTTCCACCAAAACCAATTCTCTCTCAGCTTCAGTAGATAATTTCCTGGGACTATTTAAATCCTTGTCACCATCTAAGGTTTTATTTAGATTAATCAAATTTTATCCAAATCATGGGCTATAGATAGGCAATGTGTCCTACAATCTTTCTGAGAGAATCTTATTTTGATATCTCTTTTTTTTCTTTGATATCTCTTAACTTCACATGGGTCTCTGTCTCTGTCTCCATCCATCACCAGACTAAGGTTCTATGGTGATATTCAAGATAGTCATCAGTCTGACTATGGGACAAGGCTAGTTCAGTCACCCTCTCCTCCACTGCCCAGAGGCCTACCTGGGGTCATCCCCATAGACTCTGGAAACCCTCCAGAGCCAAGACTCTTGCCAACCCCAAAATGGCTCCCTCAATTAAGATATCTCCTTCCCTGCTCCCATATTAAGGACTTTGTTCCACCTTACTCAATTAGTCTGATTTGTAATCTGCCTTCCTTGATTTATTGGCATCAGTATAAAATGTATGGGCTCTAGTTATTGGAGCATGATATACAATTTGAGGAAGAATGCAAGAAGTTCTCTTTATAAGGTTAAGTCTATCACTTTTAGGATAGTTGCTATTAATTTCTCCCACAAAATTTAGCACAAGCTCTTTGCCATGGTTCATTGTCTTTCCATAACTTTCTTATCTCTTCTGTAGTGAAATTCACTATAATTTCTGCTGGGTCTAGGCCTGCTAGTTGACGAAGTCTCAATTTACCTTTTATAATTAATTCATAGACTTTTTCCACATAAGTTTTTAATTTTTTACTTAGTTTATGTGGTAAAAAGATCCAACTCAAAGAAGGGACACACACACAAACTCTACTACCAAAAACAATAAGAATAACCGGAGTAAACAACCACTGGTCATTAATATCACTTAATATTAATGGTCTCAATTCACCTATAAAAAGGCACAGGCTAAGAGATTGGATACGAAAACAGGATTCAACATTCTGCTGTTTGCAAGAAACACATCTCAACCACAAAGACAGGCATCTACTCAGAGTAAAAGGTTGGGAAAAGGTCTTTCAAGCAAATGGTCCTAAGAAAAAAGCAGGTGTGGCCATACTAATTTCCAACAAAACTGACTTCAAACTAAAATCAATCAGAAGAGATCGAGATGGACACTTTATACTCATAACAGGAACAATTCATCAGGATGACATCTCAATCCTGAATATCTATGCCCCTAATATAAAAGCACCCACTTATGTAAAAGAAATATTACTAAAACTCAAGGCAGACATAAAACCACACACACTAATAGTAGGAGACTTCAACACACCTCTCTCTCCAATGGACAGGTCAATCAGACAGAAACCTAATAGAGAATTAAGAGAATTATTGGAGGTAATGAAGCAAATGGACTTAACAGACATCTACAGAACACTCCACCCAAATAGGAAAGAATATACCTTCTTCTCTGCAGCTCATGGAACCTTCTCAAAAATTGACCATATACTAGGAAACAAAGGAAACGTCCACAGATACAAAAGAATATCAGTGTCCACCTGTGACTTATCAGATCACCACGGATTAAAGTTAGAAGCCTACAACAATGCTACCCCCAGAAAGCCAACAAACTCATGGAAACTGAACAGTCAACTACTGAACCACACCTGGGTCAAGGAAGAAATTAAGAAAGAAATTAAAGTCTTTCTTGAATTTAATGAAAATAAAGAGACAACATACTCAAACCTATGGGACATGATGAAAGCAGTGCTAAGAGGAAAGTTCATAGAACTAAGTGCCCACTTAAAGAACTAGCTAGAGTATACGCCTGAGCCATTGGCCAAACAGTGTTGTAATTAATATAGTTTTTGTGATTATTTAAGTCTGGGTGACTGGGAAAGCAAAGGCAGTCTCCATTCACAGGAGCCCCATAGTCCCGTAGTGACTGGAACTATTAGGAGGAGTGGCTTTGTTGGAGTAGGTGTGGCCTTATTGGAAGAAGAGTGTCTCAGTCATTTTCTTCTGCCTTCTGATCTGAATATAGACCTCTCAACTTTTTCTCGAGCACCATGATGTCTGCCTGCAAATCACCATGCTTCCCACTATAACTACAATGGAACAAGCCCTCTTAAACTGCATGTGAGACCCAGTGAAATGTTCTCCTTTGTAAGAGTTGCCATAGTCATAGTTTCTTTTCACAATAATAGAAACTCTAAGACATATACTCAAAAGCAGCCACACAGGAATGTCTTCACATAACTGCAGTGGTTTGCACATTATTGCATATGTGGAGTTCACCTTCTTTCTTCTTTTCCAAAGCCCATGTACTCTTTATTGCATTACATTTCACAGTGTACATAGAAGGTAAGCCTGATAGCACTCCAGGTAAATTCATATTTTAAAAAACAGCTTTCTCATAGGTCCATATGCAGAATCCACCTCCTTACAAGTCTTTTCCAGGCTATACACTCTAGCTTCCCCCCAAAACCACTAGTTCACACGCCTTTAGGGCTGAATTGCATATAGTTGTCAGGGAAGGAGGCTGTATACTCTCAAGGAGGGGATACCTCCTTCTGTGATGGAATATCAACAGTCACCAAACCTGGTGGTGGTCATCCTTTTTAAGCAGGTACAGCTGATCACAGTAAGGTGACAATTGTTTGTCTTAAGACAGTGCTGAGCAACAACAATTAAGTAAAAAAAGTTGAATAAAAGCTGTGAAAAAAATAATGTAATAAATTAATATTTCCTAGGTACATTCTGTTAAACAGTCTTAAACCAGAAAACACAAGGAAGCCTTTATATAAAACATGGCATTGCTACTGTAACTATGCTTTTGGTTTTTAATAAGTGTATGTAGTCAATACAAAGAAACAGCAAACACATAACAAAACATCATCAAATTGAAGTGTACAGCATCCAGGACAACACTACTAAGAAATCTTTCTTAAAACTATGATGCCCCAGCTTACTACAGAGAGATCTTTACAGTCTCTCTACCCTCTCCATGGATGGGCATCCCATTAGCTGTTTTTACCACAATATGACCAATAACAGCATACACACAACGTAAGCAAACATTTAAATCCTAGCACCATAATTTCTCACAGCCTGGTTAGCATACTACTCATCTTTGGGGTATTTTACAGTCAGCCCTCCTGTAGCTAAATTCTGCTTTGTGTGACTTTCTATCTCCTAGGTGTTGGTAAATCCTTTATACTACCAATTTTGTTCTTCTACAGCACAGCTTAGTAATGGAGTTACCCAGTACGTGAGATGCCATTTATAACTTCCACAAAGATGACTCCAAATAGATCTTACACTTAATTGTCAAATGGGAAGTGCACAACTTCTAAAAGATACTTGAGAAACTAGACCTCTCCGAGTTTGGCAACCTGCGTAGGTCTTGGGAGGTTTCTCTAAGGCCCTGATGTATAGAGCGAAAATAGAGCTAGCTCCTTCCCAAAAACCATAACTATGCTTGGGACAACTGGTAAAGGTCTGGGGACAGGGTCATTGGGAAGGGGTTTGTTGCTTCAGATCCTGAGAACCCAACTCTTTCCACACACGTGGCTATAGTTAGCAGTCTTTCACACCACTGTTAACTTTGTTCATAATGTTCTTGAACTACCCTGTGTTCCTCTGGTACAACAATGTCTGATTAGCCTTCTTCTGAAATTGTACACTTCATGAAAGACCCTTCAGCTAGCATGCTCCCGGGGGAACGTCCTGTTTGCTTAAAAAAAAAAAAAAAATTCTCCGGATCAGCAGCCAGCCTGCTCTCATAAGAACATCCCATGTGCTTGAGAGAGCAGGATGTCTATGAGATAGGAAGACTGTAAGGCAGGATATCAATAAGATAGGAACAGGATGACTTTTGCTGACACCCATGCTGAGAGAGGAAACCATTCATCCCCCCCCCCCCTCATTCCGATAACCACGCTTTTGCTTCTGTAAACTTGCTTTTTGCTCTTCCCTATAAAAGCCCGCCCTCCAGTGGGCAGGCGCGCAAGTCCTCCGAAAGACTTGCCGCCCGCAGGTACCTGTGTTTACCCAATAAACCTCTTGCGATTTGCATCCGTAAGGTCTCGGCCTGTTCCTTGGCATCGGGGAGGTCTCCTCCTGAGAGAAAGTCCTCTTCGAGGGTCTTTCACTTCCTTTTAAAATTGAATCAGTCCATCGGTTTACATTAACAAGAGCCTTGCTAAATCATTTGGCACAGATTTCCAGCCAATCTGGGACAGATCTGTGTTTTGGTAGGAAGCCAGGGCTGTGAACCACGGTCCTGTCACTCAGATCTCACTAGCCAATCAGAACCTCGAGTGGACCCGCCTGTCAGATAGAGTTCTTCCGGGGGCCAGGCTTCTGCTCGGTGCCTCTGCTGAGGAAGTCGGACGTCGTCCTCGTTCTGCTGTGCAGAGACCGTGGACTCACCTGGCAGCCGCGCCATGGTAAACAAGAGACTGCGGTCCCCAGACGGAAAGGAGTGGCCGGCCATGGTGAGCGAGGGGCTGCGGTGCCCAGACTGAGCCTGGGGAAACGGTGTGGTGGGGCCTCCCCCAGCCTGAGTTTAATCGGCGGGCAGACAGAATTTCGCGTGTTACTGCATGTCCTTTCTGTCCCTGCCTGGTAATCCTTGCAACTCCCTGGGCTAGGGCGGCAGCCTCTGAATAACTTCACTCCGTGGGCTGCGTCTGGCAGATCACTGGGAGTGTGGCTGCACTTAGAAATATCCTTGTTTTGGACGCCGCTGTGAAATGCCGGCACCTGTGGTCCTTGAATTGTCACTATCGAGGGCAGATTTGCCAAATTCGGAGAGCCCTAGTCGCCCTAGTATCTTCCAGATGTTCCCATTTTTAGCATTTACGTTTAGGATCTGGCTGGAGTTGATTCTGTAGAGCTTGTAAAACGGTATCTCCTGTTGAGGATAGCTCTCCGCTGCTAAACCGTGATGTAGAAGCGTAGAATTGGTGATAATGGAATTGATGGTATAAGATATACCAATAGGATACTTTAAGTCACACAAAGTAGAATTTAGGTAGGGCACGGTTGCCTACCAAAAGGCTCCAAAGATAAGTAGTTTGCTAACCGCGTGCCTGCTAGAGATTAGTCTTATAAAATGCAAGTGTTTACCAGGATTAACTGGCCATTAAACTATATTCCCATAACAAAGGAGACAACCCTAATTTATAACCAGCCAAAAGCCCACCTCCCATCAAAGAATGGCCTCTAAGGTGCTGCTCAAGGGGCCATTACAGAGTCACAAACAACTTTAGGTCCTGATGTGCCATAAAGGTATATTAATTCTCTAGAACAGCTGCATCTCCAGTCTCAGAAAAGTGGTTTTGAGCCAAATATCCTATGTAGACTGAGGTGGACTTGAACCCTGCCTGTAGACTAACCACCCTAAATTCTTGGATTACAGCTCTGCAGCACCACAGTTCTAAAATTACCAGTTTGTGTTACACAGACTGTGTAGGGGGAAATAAGATTAGGCAATAGCTAGATCAATGACTGAAGTGCACTGCACATGTTCCCATTATAAAGAAGGACTTGATGGGACATGTGGGTGACTTACTGTGTAATTAACCAGCGTGTATGAATTCCTTCCATGTAAAGGAAGACAGACAGAATTAATGAGTTTGTGTAGTTTAGGGAGGATAGCTTGAGCTACTAAGTATTCAGTTTCCAGTTGGGGAACTCTTCCATGCAATTATATGCAATCCTGATTGACTCAGTTAAGTCTGCTCAGAGGTTTAAAGCGCAGACCATTGGCTATAAATCTTTGTCAGCTTAAAGCACACTCAGCAACTAAGACTTTACAGGGGACAAAGTCATACAATGTCTTATTAATGTTATTCTCGATACCAGGGAAGCACTTACTTTGTTTCAAAGTCAGTATAGCTGTGTGCTCTTCCAGTTATTTTTAATCATTTTAAAAAGTCAATTATTGGTATTATTTTTAAGTTTCATTTTCTTTAAATACATTACTGCTCTAATCTCTATTTGTTTCTATTTTCCAATGTTTCCCAGTCATTAAGAATTTCATTCCATTTTTTTCTTAAGTGCTCTTTATTTATTTAATCAGTTTAGAGTGGGGGATCAAATGACGCTATCACAAAAGTGGCCTAAGACCATCAGAAAAGACAGATATTTATATTACAGTTCATAACAACAGCAAAATTATAGTTATGAAGTAGCTGTGAAAATAATTTTATAGTTGGTGGCTCACCACCACAACAGGAACTATTTTACAGAGTCACAGCCTTAGGAAAGTTGAGAATTACAAGTTTAGATGAATGTCACCTGTAGCTCAGGCTTGCCTCTCCCTCTGTAATTGAGAATTGCTTTGAATACCTAATACTGCCTCTGCTGCCTGGGGCTGGGAAGACTGTCCTGCAACTCCTTTCAGGCTGAGTCTTGACTAGTCAGTGAAAAGGAAAATTAGACCAGTGAATTAGTGTCCTCCAACTTCTTTAGATTTTTATTGTGAATTTACAAATGAAGCAGGACCTGTGTAAGAATTGAGTTAACTGACCAACTGTAAAGCAGGTATTGTCACAGCACAGAAAGGGAAGCTTTCCTGCTTTGACAGTAATTGACATTAGCAATGAGTAGTAAGGTGATAAGTATTAGGTGATCAAAAACTGTCCTGAGTGGCCACATCTTGTGTTCACAGACCAGGCAGTTAAGAATCCAGATAAAGAACTGAACTTTAGTGAAACCAAATTACTGTAGTTACACTAGTTCTTCCAAAATAGAAGAACTGAATAAAATTGTGTGGCCCTGCCTAACATGAATGTGTTTTCCAAGTTTAAGATGTGCAGAATGGGAGAAAAGACATGAGTAGTACTTGGTGTGCTCTAATGCCTATTCACTGTCTTTGGAGCACATGGCCATAAAGCTTGTTTCAACTTTTTAACATAACATTTGGTAATTCTGATTACATCATTTTCACTGTCTCTTTCCTGTGTCTAAGTCCTCCCTTAGGCCCTTCATTGTTTTCTAATCTGTGACCTCCTTTTGCTTTCACTACAGTAACTGTTTGAATGTGACCTGTGTTTGACTACACTAGACATTGATTGTGTAATGGAGTGTGCACAATGGACCCTGTGCCTTGTAAGAGCAACAGAACGTGCTCTGGGAAAATGGAAGATTCTACTAAACTAGCGCCCTGTCTGACCCTAGGGTGGAAGGAGAGAACTGGGAAGGCCTCGGCTATCTGAGTCATTTAATATCAGCTTACCCAATAGGGTAACTGCTAATTTTGCGGGGCCCAACTAGGTGGTTCTAGCTTATGAGGGACCCTGAGAAGGTTTAGCAGTAAGGAGTACCTATGAGAAGTAGCTTACAGGTTCTTTCTAGAATTCTCCTCTGGTTCTGCTATAGGAAGCTGTAAAGACCACAAGCTATGCTGTGGTGAATGTACAGGCCACTGTCCCCAGTCAGGATGCACAGGTTGAATGAACTATCAGAGCTTCTGGAACTGGGATGGACCATGAACCATACTGGTTCTGTTGGTCTCTGTGTTGACCTGGTCAGTGTCCCTTGGCCTCTGTGACTCACTGAGTATGGATTCCCTGGGGAGGAAAAGGCTCCACCACCCTGGTATGGGAGGTTAGGATGCTTGTAATATCACTGTCAAGTGTATACACACAGGCATTACTTTTGGTGTACAGTGAAAAGACGGATTGGAAAGCTGAAGGCCTGGTTTCTAGAAATTCTGAATGTTGCATTCCACGTGCAGGTTTGTCTTATAAATGTTACAGAGTTTAGAAAATGGTAGAAAGGAGATAATGGGCATCATTCTTCAGCAATACATGTTTAGAATGCTGTTAACTGTCTGCTACTATCAGCCACCATGGGTGTGGATTAGTGAAGTCCAGTTCAAGGGGATAAAAGGAATTTCTGGGCTGCAGAGGTATCTCAGGTTTGCATGATGTTGGGCAGATGCCACATCTTGTGCCATAATCCATATGGCAGACATTAAATTATTCTTCTACGTTACATTTTGATTGGACTTCACTAGGGCTCAGTTTGCCTGAAACCACAAAGGAACATGAGGGACTATAGAGCCATAGTAAGTTCTAGAGGAGATCACCTTTGTTTGCAAAGTGAATTCTAGAGCATGGAGTCTTTCTGGAAGAACTATCAGTAGCTAGAGAGTCAGACGCGTAACACTTTGAGTTAATTTTGTGGGAGTTGTAAAGTTTGTATTTATTAAATTTCTGTACACATATTGGTTAAAATCACAGTTTTTCTGGATGAGTCTCCTTTGGTATTTAGATTAAAAGTTTACTTTATTTACCTGATTTTGTTTTCGACTTTTTCTGTCTTCTTTTTTCTTTCACAAATATTGTATGCATTCTTGATTATTGTGGTAAATATAGAAGTCACATTATGTCAGTATGTGTACTATTTTTTTTTTGATAATCCCATATAGCATTCTGAAAGTTTTTCAGCTTTGCATGTGACTCTGAAATTACCTTTTCTGTTATAAATTTTGGGTCATTGTCTTTGGATTGTATTCAGTTTGTGGTGCAAACTGACCATATACAACATCTTAACATTGATGCATTGTGTTTCCAAGGATGATTTATTTACTGTATTTATTTCACTTGTTGTTAATCTGTAAAAGACTTTTAGACTCTTAGATAAAATATTATGAAGCTTGGTAGGTGGTTCAGCACATGTTCTTCTTCGGGATGACCTGAGTTCCTATCTTAACACCCAAGTCAGGAGGCTCATAACAGCATCCTACTCAAAGTCCAGGGGATCTGGTGTTTCTGGTTTTAAAGAAACATACAATGTTTCTTTTAAAATATGTTATCTTGCCTCTGGTTTAGCAAAGTTTTTCTATCTTCACTCTGATGCAGACTTACATCTAAATATCTAATCATCAATCAGGAAAGTGATTCTAACTTTTATGAACATAGTTAGTATAACAAAAGTTGTATCTTATTATGTTGCCAGTCATCACAAAAGTTCACACTCTAAATTGGTGTGTTCCTAAGCCTAGTTCCCCAAGGCTGCTCAACTGTGTCACGTACCTTAGCTAAAGTTCAGACTCTAACAAAAGTCTCTGATTCAGGGACATGATACTGGGGGAGATGCTTTAGTCACTGGACCAATCTAGATGATGATGTCTCTCCACATGTGCAGAGCAGAGCATTGCTCTTGATATCTGCTTATTTACTTTGGACATCATGGGGATCTTGGGCTATATCTAGTTATTTGGAGTGAGTGATACCACTTGGTTCTGGTTGTCAGGTACAGCCTTGGGTTGTAGGGTTCCTGATTAAACTACTTTTACATATCTAAAAGGCTTTTTTTTAAAAAAAAAAGAAAAAAAACTATGCTCATTCTTTTCCCTGGTCCTTGAGGCATAAATAGTGCTGATGGGGACCATACATAAGAATCATCAACTCTTTCACAGCAGTTTGCAAATTCAGGCCACAGCAGGAAAAGGAGAAAGCATACACTATATATCCCAACTACT